TGCCCGGGTTTACGGGGCCGCCTCGGCCGAGGGGCCGGCCTCGCCGTCGTGGCTGGCCGTGTCGAAGCCGTGCTCCATGCCCATCATGTCCGGCTCCATCTTGCCCGTGTCGCTGATGAAGGTGGTGTAGGCCTCGCCCTCCGCCATGAGCAGCTTCAGCTTCCAGCTCTTGCGCACCACGCGGCGGGCATTGGTGCACATGTCGGCCGCGATGGCGTTCATCTCGCTCTCCTTGAAGTTGGGGGCGAAGTTCTGGCAGTAGTCTGGGGGGGAGGGGGGCGGGCGGGCGGCTCAGATGAGGCCCAGCTCGGGCACCCGCCACCTGCCTGCACCTGCAAATTCCACTTGGAGGAAGGGGAGGCCACGCTTGCCCATGCGTGTGGGAGGGGTGGGCTTGGGTGGGTGGCCCAGAACTAACTTCTTTCCTTTTTTTCCTTTTCTTTAAAATTTTGATTTAACTTTATTTATTTACTTAAATTTGACCAGACAGGAACAGAGTGAGTGAGTGAGAGAGGAAAAGTGAGAAAGCAAGCTGCCAGGTCTGGGACTCGAACTGTGGTCAGCCATGTGGGAGTCCAGTGCCCTTAACTACCAATACCACCTACCGGTCCCCTAACTTCCTTTGTTGCTTGTTTTTATTTATTTACGCATTTTAGAGAGATTTTTGCTACAGGGTGCGTGTGCTTGTCGGAGAAATGGAGACGCCGAGAAAGAGAGACAGAAAGCAGGCGATGGCCCAAGCCACAATCCCGTCTCCTCCATTCCCCTCTTGGGACTTTGGGCACCCATGCACCCACGCCCGGTGTGCAGAGAGATTTCTGCTATAGAGTTACGTGTGCTCACCAGCATGGGTTTTAAGCTGCTGGGTCCAGGCCTCGAACCGCAGTTTACTACACAGGGAGCCCAGTGATGTAACCATTAGGCCATCTGCTGGTCCCTGAACTTTTGTTTTTTTTTGGAGAGGTTTTCGCTATAGGGCGCGTGCGCTCGCCAGACAGACAGAGAGAGACATAGAGACAGAAAGCAAGAAATCCCCCCCCAGGGGGGATGGCCACGCCGCAATCCCTTCTCCTCCATTCTCCTCTCGGGATCTTGGGCACACACGTACACGCGCTCGGCGTGAGTTTTAAGCCACTGGGTCCGGAACGCGAACCGTGGTTGACTACGTGGGAGTCCAGCGACATAGCCATTACGCTAACTGCTGGTTCCCCGGTTCCTGAACTTTTATGGCTAGGAGGTGAGTGCTTGCCAGAGATATGGTGAGGAGAGGAGACTCCAAAGTCCCTTGTCCTCCATCTCTCCCTCCTGCTGAGATTTTCACCACACGGGCATCCAGACACACTCAGTGTGTTTTAAACACACGCGGCCTGGGTCCAGGAATTGAACAGTGTGGTCAGTCATGTCGGATCCACTGGCCTTAAATGGCCCAGAGTTCTTGAAAAATGTGGATCATTTGCCAGAATTTCGAAACTGGGAGATCCCGTGTGTGACACCTGGTCCTCGCCAACCATGGGCAGGCACTGGGTCTGCCTGGCCGCCTTTGTGCTGCCCAGATGGCTCTAACTGTCCAGAGACAGCTTGCCTGGCACTGGCTTCCCAGCCGCCCTCCAGCGCCCCGTGCCCCAAACAAACCAATCAGCCTTGTCTATTTTTTTGGTTAGTGGGTGCGTGTGCTCACCAGAGACACCTTGGGGCATGGTCATGTGACAATCCCTTTTCTTTCTTTCTTTTCTTTTTTTCTTTTTTTTTTAAGAGAGATTTTTGCAGGGCTTGCAGGGGGGCTGGGGGGTTAAG